GGGGGGGATACAAAAAGTAATAGAGGGGGGAGCCTAAAAGTGAGGGAGGGACACAAAAAATGGTAGAAGGGAGTCCCTGAAAGTGAGGAGGGGATATAAAAAGTGAGGGGGGGACACAAAAATGACACTGAAAGTGAGAGGGGGACACTAAAAGTGACAGAGGGGAGATCCTGAAAGTGAGGGAGGGACACTAAAAATGGGAGAAAGATGCCAAAAGTGATGGGGGGAACCCTGAAAGTGAGGGGGGGAAACAAAAAGTGAGGGAGGGACACCAAAAATGACCCTGAAAGTGAGGCAGGGACACAAAAAAATATAGAGGAGAGATCCTGAAAGTGAGGGGGAGACAAAAAAACCTGAGAGAGGGACACCAAAAATTACCCTAGAGGGAGGGAGGGACACAAAAAATGACAGAGGGGAGACCCTGAAAGAGAGGGGGATACAAAAAGTGAGGGAGGGGATGCCAAAAATAACCCTGAGAGTGAGGGAGGGACACAAAAAATGACAGAGGGGAGACCCTGAAAATGAGGGAGGGGACACAAGAAACGGGGGAGAGATGCTAAAAGTGATGGAGGGGAACCCTGAAGGTGAGAGAAGGAAACAAAAAGTCAGGGGAGGGACACCAAAAGTGCTCCTAAAAGCAAGGCAGGGCCCCAAAAAGCAAGGAAGGGGCACCAAAAATGCCCCAAAAAGTGAGGCAGGGACACAAAAAGTGATGGGGGGAGACCAAAAGTGACCCAAAAGTGAGGCAGGGCCACAAAAAGAGAGGGAGGGCCACCAAAAGTGACCCTAAAAGTGAGGCAGGGCCACCAAAAGCCCCAGAAAGTGAGACAGGGACACAGAAGGTGACAGGGGAGACCAACATTGACCTAAAAGTGAGGCAGGGACACAAAAAATTAGGGAGGGCCACCAAAAATGCCCCAAAAATCAAGGCAGGGACACAAGAAGCGAGGCAGTGGCACCAAAAGTGACCCAAAAAGTGAGGGAGGGGCACAAAAACTGATGGGGGGAGACCAAAACGACCCTAAAAGTGAGGCAGGGCCACAATATTGAGGGAGGGGCACCAAAAGTGACACTAAAAGTGAGACAGGGACACCAAAAGTGTCCCTAAAAGCAAGACAGGGACACACAAAGTGACGGCTAGAGACCAAAAGTGACCTAAAAGTGAGGCAAGGACATAAAATTGAGAGAAGGCCACCAAAAATACCTCAAAAATTGAAGGAGGGCCACCAAAAATGCCTGAAAAAACGAGGCAGGGACTTTTATTATTTATGTATTTATTTATTTTTAATTTTTATTGTTTCGTTTTATTTATTTCTAAGAAGTGGCAGGAGTTTAGCCTGAGGGCACGGAAGAATTTAGGGATAGCCCTATATGACAAATTCCTGCCTAGCACAAACATATAAGTATATATATATATATATTTAAATTTATTTTATTTCTATTTATTTGTATAATTTTTTTATTTATTTTATTTTTTTTCCTATGAAGTCTCAGGGGTTTAGCCACGCAGTGAGAGCACTCACAGAGCAGAGTGAGGAACAATTTAGGTATGGTCTCACATGACAAATCCCTGCCTGGCAAGGGTATATATATATATAATTTTTTTAAATGTATTTATTTTATTTTTATTTAATTTTATTTATTTATTTAATATTTTTTTTCCTATGAAGTGTGAGGGGTTTAGCCATGGAGTGAGGGTACAGAAGAATTTAGGGATAGCCCCACATGACAAATCCCTGCCTGCCACAATTATATATATGTATGTATATATATATATAATATATTTATTTCTATTTTTTAAATTTTATTTATTTTATTAGTTCTTTATTTCTTTATTTATTTATATGAAGTGTCAGGGTTTAGCCATAGAGTGAGAGCACAGAGGAGTTTAGGGATAGCCCCACATGACAAATCCCTGCCTGGCATGGGTATATACATATATTAATTAATTTATTTATTTATTATAGTGGCTTTATTTTATTTTTATTTATTTATTTTTATGAAGTGCCAGGGGTTTAGCCATGGAGTGAGAGCACAGAAGAATTTAGGGATATCCCCACACGACAAATCGCTGCCTGGCACAATGATATATATGTGTGTATTTATATAATTGATGTGTTTGTTTTTGTTTATTTCTATTTTTAAATTTTTGTTTATTTTTATTAGTTATTTATTTCTTTATTTATTTATATGAAGTATCAGGGTTTAGCCACAGACTGAGAGCACAGAAGAGTTTAGTATAGCCCCACATGACAAGTCTCTGTCTGGCATGAGTATATATATATATATATATACATGTATGTATGTATGTATATATATAATTGATTTATTTGGTTTCAATTATTTATTTTTATTTTAAATTTTATTTATTTATATTATTTATTTATTTATTTATTTCTATGAAGTGTTGGGGTTTAGCCACAGAGTGAGAGTACAGAAAAATTTAGGGGTTGCCCCACACGACAAATCCCTGCTTGGCATGGGTATATGTATATTTTTAAAATCTATTTGTTTATTTTTATTTTTTATATTTTTTATTTATTTATTTTTATTATTTTTTTTTCTATGAAGTGGCAGGGGTTTAGTCATGGAATGAGAGCACAGAAGAATTTAGGGAAAGCCCCACATGACAAATCCCTACCTGGCATGGGCATATACATGTA